TACAGATTTACCGGCTCAAATGAAAGCCTAAAACACTGAATATAGCAAGCAGAGAACCCAATATACAACTCTAATTCTAATCTATGAACCGAGTGAAAGACTATAACAACCGAAGAAGAAGATTGCAAAAATACAGAGTGAAAACCCTCTTGAAATTAGAGAGAGAAAAACCACACCATGATCAAATTTTCATCTAACTTATATCTCCACCAAAATGAGCCCTTAAGTCAACCAAGTAAAACGGGATATCTATTTCTAGCCATTGATTGAAACCAACATTTCAGGTCACCCAAGAGAAAGCACAAATTCGAGTGCAACTTAAGTGACCAATAACAACTCGCCAAGTGGCCATGAATGAAACGATTTTTCACTTCCAAAAATGGGTTTTAGAACCATCTTTCACAACCTTCACCTTAGTTCTCAAACCCTTCACTCTCTCTAGTTGCTACAATGCACGTGACGATAATTTTACCCTACATCATTGTCCTAGGTACCTATAAAAGATTAAACCATATTAATATATAGTAAAGACAAATAAGATTTAAACTTACTAACAAATAGAATTTTGGTTCCCAAAACAGATGTGTTCATATTGGTATGAATTTTTTGAAGTATGACCTCACCACATGCAATTTTTTTCTCCTATGAAGTGGTACTTCACCTCATGTGCTTAGATCTCTCACGATAAATAGGACTTTTACATAACGCAAAGCACTTTGACTATCAATGAAAATTATAGGTGACTTTTGTAAAAAATTCAATTCTCCCAAAATTTCCTTTAACCAAATACATTCTTTTACAGATTCAATGATTGCCACATATTCAGCCTGCATGCTAGATAATATAACAATAGATTGAAGTTATGACTTTCATGTGATGCAATTATCACCTATTGTGAATAAATAGACAATAAGAGAGTTTCTTTGGTCTTTATCCCCCAACAAAATCAGAGTCTACATACATCTTTAATGTAAGTTGTTCAGATCTCTTTTCAAACACTAATTCCATATCTAATGTCCCAGCTATTTATCTTAGAAGTCATTTTAACCCAGCCCAATGAAATTTTCTCGGATTAGACATGAATCAACTTAAAAAACTTATAGCATAAGCCAAACTGGCCTAGTAGTAATAATAGAAAACATGACTAATCCTATGGCATTTGCGTAAGGGATATGATAGATTCATATGAGCCGCAAGAGTTACATTTACATGCTTAGCTGCTTTCATGCCAAATTTGATTATAACTTTGTTCGAATAAACACTTTGTATTTTAGTTAAAATATTCTCTTACCTATTTCTGTTAATAACCATTCCCAAAATTTTCTTAGTATTTCCTAAGTCATTCATTTCAAATTCAGACTAGATTTTTAAATCTCAAAATTTTAGCATTGTTAGTGCTAACCAATAACATGTCATCAACATATAGAAGTTAATGGACCTCACTACCAGCCCTAGCATTATTGTAGTACTGACAATGATTAAATTCACTTTTCTTGAAGCGAATCTTCAACACGTGTCAAATCTAATGTAGCATTGTCTTGGGCTTTGTTTAAGCCCATATAATGATTTTTGCAACTTGCAAACATAATTTTCTTTTTCCTTCACCTCAAACCCCATCTAGCTCACTGTGTAAAATGATCGTCTTGACATCTAATTGTTCAAGTTCCCAATTGAATTGAACAACTAATGCAAGAATCAATCTTATGGTCTTGTATTTGACAGCCAGGAAGAAAATCTCATTATAGTCAACACCCTTCATTTGAGTAAAGTCTTCAGCTACAAAACTAGCTTTATATCTTAACGGGTCAGATAACGTAATCCCATTCTTTGGTTTGAAAATTCACTTGCATTGAACAACTCTTTGATTTTTAGGTTCTTTACTAATTTCCATGTGTTATTTTCAAGTAAAGATTTCATTTATTCTTTCATTACATCTATTCATTTATTAGATTTAGAACTATTCGTGGCCTCTTCATAAGATGAAAGTTTTGAATGCTCTAACAATTCACTAGAGATAAGGGCAAAGTGAGTCAAGTTATTTACTTCATATCTTGGATTTGGTTTGATATGTCTCATTTCCCTATCTCTAATCAATTGATAATCTTGAGTACTAATCTCAACAAATGGGTTGGGCTTTCAATTTCAATCTCAGCCTCAATTTGAGTTAGATCTACTTCACTGTCATTCGTGTTAACAACATTTTCATCAAGTTGTATAACACTAGCTTCAGTATTCTCAGATTGAGTGGGGTTTAGCCTTGTTACCTTCACCTTATTGCGTGAAGAAGTCTCTTTAGTTTGCACTTTTGAATTATGAATTTTATTTTTATACATGACATTTTAGATTAATTAAATACCACATTTATTCTATTAATGACCTTAATGCCTTGTACATCTAACACCCACAACCTATACCCCTTCACACCTCCCGAGTACCCAAACATAACACACTTAGTAGCCCTCTGATGTGCATATGTCGCACATCCAAACACTCTAATGTGAGAAAGGTTTGGGAGCTTATCGATTTATAAGATAAGTAGCTGTAGTCACAGCCTCAGCCCAAAAACCTTTGGCTAATCCAGAAATGATTTGCATACATCTAACTTTGTTAATTACAGTTCTGTTCATTTTTTCAGCAACCCCATTCTGTTGAGGTCTGTACTTAACGATTCTGTGTCTTGCAATTCCCTTTTGTTTACATAAGTTATCAAACTCAGCACTATAGAATTTCAAACCATTATTAGTGCTTACAGTTTTTAACTTCTTATCAAGTTGATTCTCAACCATCTTTAACCATGTTTTGAATTTTTGAAATGTCTCTGATTTTGATTTCAAATGATAAGTCCAAACCTTTCTTGAATAGTCATCAAATATAGAAAGGAAGTACTTATTCCCTCTAAAGGTAGGGTGACTCTTAGGTCTCCATAAATCCGAGTAGACATAGTCTAGGGGCCTAGAGGTGGTACGTGACCCAATCTCAAAGCTCACCTTATGTAATTTACCCAACACACATTTTCACAAAATTATGGGACTCAATTGTAACTTTCCCATATAATTTCTTGTTATTTAGATACTTGAGACCCTTATTTCCTATATGTCACATTCTATTATGTCATAATTCTAATTTGTTTCCAGTTATGGTCAAATATTTAAGATCTTGAGGAGCAATTGTTTCTTCCATTAGATAGTATAATCCATTTCTTTTTGGTCCCTTAAAGATCACCAAAGATTCCTACATAACTTTCAAAGTGTTATTTTCAGACTTGAAAGAATGTCCCTCATCTTTAAGAATTCCTACATAACTTTTAATGAGATGATATTTCTTTTCAGATTTGAGACATATCTTACATTTTTCAATTGCCTGACATTGCCATCATACATCCTAATGGCAATGTCACCAATATCAATAACATTTTGAGAGTTATTATCACCCATATACACTTTCTTGGGTTCAACTTCTATGTAATTATTAAACTAAGATTTATCAGAACACAAGTGGAATGTACACCCTGAATCCAAGATCCAATCCTTATCAACTTTTTCATTAGACACAGTCATTACAAGTAGGCTGTCTAACTCAGAACTAATGGCAAAATTATTCAATTCCCCATTATTTTGATCATTTAGTTTTTTCCAATCTCGTTTAAAGTGGCCTACCTTACCACAATGGTAATACTTCTTATTGCATTTTTCTCTTGATTTAGATCTAATTTTTAGATTTCAATTTAGATCTTCTGTTGTTGAAGTTATTTTCCTTCTTCTCAGCTCTTTCTTTTACAAACATATTCTCCTCTCTTGATCTTATCCTAGATTTTCTCTTGACCTCCAATTCTCGAGATCTTAGAGCACTAGTGACAATTGTTTGTGTTAGGTTATCTTTTGAGTATTTTATCACATTCTTGATATCCTTAGAAGAATCAGGTAATGAATTAAAAATGATTACCGCAAGGTCCTCATCCTCAAATTTTTTGTCATTATGAGCAAAGCTTTTAACTAGGATGCGAAAATTACTCAAATTAGCTTCCAAGTCTTTCCCAGTATCCATTTTGAAACAAAAAAGTTTCTCTAGGTGGTGGATTTTATTAGTCAATGTCTTAGTCAGAAACAAAACATCCGATGCAGTCCATAAGGCTTTAGGAGTTTTAGTATCAATCTACTTGTCATACTATGTTATTAGATAAGTGTAATACGATAGAATTATATGTCATTTCATTCATTTCTAGAATTTCGTCAGGCTTAGCTTTCAATTTAGCAGAAAAATTTAAGGAACATTCAGGGTTTTGACAACTCTTTGTTGGACCAATATGGCCCTTATTTATTGCTTCCAGATGGAGTAATCCTCATTTCCATCGAATTATGATAATTTGGCCTTCAAATCACTTAAGTTCTGTAAAAGGGTGGTTATTACTCGTGGACATAAGTGATTATAAATTTGAGAATCACTTAAGTAGTAGAAAAGGTTTTGAGAAACAGGTTTTGCAATTAATGACAAGTAAGCTGATCTCAGAATGAAAAACAATAGTAATATAATGTGCACAGATTGCAATAGCAACAAGAAGAGTTGATTTCAGATTTTTCAAAGATGGTACCACTTAGTCAAGTTAAAGAAGTTGAAACCCTAAATGTGCTCCTATTACAACCAAACAATTTATCGAATTCTCGATTAAATCAGATCATAGTATCAAAAGATTCATATATCGACAATTCAAGCATGCAAATCAATTTCTATAAATTTGTATTGGAACAATCTCACCAAATACTGTGTATAACAGTTTCAACCAAACTCCATGTTGATTTCAAAATCAGACCCCATACCCTAGCCTCCAAGAACCTCTGTTCAGTTCAAGTTATTGGTACTGCACAGATAAAAAACGCATCAATACGACAAAAATTCAAATTAAATTTCACATGTCTTAACCACGCCTTATGAGGCTCTGATACTAGATTTGTTGGGAATTTTCACCCAGTCGAACATAAATAGTAGAAATCAAAACCAACACAAACATAATGCTAAAATATAAATAACACTAAAATTGTTCACTCAGTTCGGCCAAACCTAATCTGGGGGGCTCAGAGATAAAAAGGGTTCGTCAATATGTGCAAAGAACCATTCGAGAGAGAATTTAATATCAATACAATCAAGACTCAGACTACGCACGGTCATCGATCCAAAGGATCTCCGAAACCAACCTATACTATACAAGAATCAGCAGAAAACTTCATTAGCTCAAATGGAAGCCTAAAACACTAAAGCAGTGAACCCAATATACAACTCTAATTCTAATCTATGGACCGAATGAAAGACTATTTCAACCGAAGAAAAAGATTGCAAAATTAAAGAGAGAAAACCCTCGTGAAATTAGAGAGAGAAAGGCCACATGATGATCAACTTTTCATCAACTCATATGCCCACCAAAATGAGCCCTCGAGTCAACCAAGTAAAACATGAGATCCATTACACTTCAGATCACCAAAGAGAGAGCACAAATCTGGGTGCAACTTAAGTGACCAATAACAACTTGCCAAGTGGGCATTTGATTGGAACGATTTTTCACTTCCAAAAAGGGGTTTTAGAACCACATTTTACATATACCTTTGTCTTTCCAGTCAATATTTGTGGGCTGCGGTTGCAACACTTGATGCTGTTACCAGAATGCAAAGGGATTCAACTTCAAGAGCTTCCATCTCGTCTAAACGCTGAGTGCTAAAGACATATTTATCTTATTCTTCAAATTGTCCCATCAGCAAAACTCGAATAGAGGACATCGAATGATCTTATACCATGTTGAATTGCCTCGTGTAGAAGCTTAAGCGTTTTGATAAGGTTTTTCAACTGATGAACGATCAATACTGAACTGTTTACCAACTCTCGACGGGACTGCAGATTCCAGTTCTTGATAATCTTTTTCTGCCTCCTCTATAGTTTTTGCCGTTATCTCATCTGTTAAAAAGGAGCTTCCTTTCAACTTTCATCATCTGAAAATCCAAAGATTTTGCTTGCAACAAGACTGATGAGTTTTTCCTTGACGAAGGAATGGAGTTGGTAGAACTTTTCTAACAGCTAGCTTAAGTAAAACATTGGACTCAATTGTAGTTTATATATACAAGATTCATACGTAATAAGCCATGTCCACAGTACAATTACTGATAATTAATTAATTATGTAAGCAAAATTATGACAACATAGCAACTCTGGCATTATTTGTGGCAACTAGAATAAATTACTATCAATGGTAGGTTGTATCTTATGCTAGATAGAGAAATTCCGAGGACTAGCAGCCCACAGCGAACCAAGATCTCGCAGACATTGAAAATACTCCCCAAAAGCGAGCATCCCCTTTGCTGCTTGGCGTGTATTTAGAATGATGGACATTCGTCTCAGAGTTTGCTCCCGAAGATGATCTGCCTGTGGTGAAATCAAGCAATTGGAAGCACATAGGTTAACATGTTTACATGCCCCAGAAGCAATAAAACTAGAGACGTAAAATGGGATGGGTCGGGCCCAGAAGCAATAAAACTAGAGACGTAAAATGGGGTGGGTCGGGCTGTAAAACCCAAAAAATGCAGAAGCCCATCGGGGCTATGCTAAATCGTTAGCTATGCGTTAGGAAGCTAAATGTGATAACTCAGTATGAAATGTATCATTAAAGTTTATTTTCTTATCAGAACCAAACGTGACAATTCAAACAACAATATATAACGTTATTAGTATTTCAAAAATCAATGTAAGGAAGCAGTTTAAAAGTTTTTGCCCAAACCATCTTTTCACTAAATGCACTGCTGGTTATTACACAGCCAAGCTCCAAAATCAAGTTCTTCGTTAGCACACACATCTGTCCTACGACAAAGATGGCCACATTGTCTTGCTTTCTGATTAAAAATTATGAAAACCAACAATCATTCCAATCAAGAAATATATTAAGAGCCTGTTTGGGAGTGATTTAAAGAATTGATTTTTTGACCGTTAGGAGAAAAATGAGGTCCACCTGTAATAGAAGAAATCAAATATGACAGCTGGAATAATGAAATAACGGTTAAAAAATCAATTTTTTTTGGGGGAAAAAATCACTCTCAAACAAGCTCTAGGTATAAACTTTCCAAATCGATGTCTTATAAGAACTGAACAGAGCTCGAAGGTTATGAAGCATCACGGAAGTTGGAGTGGCTAATAGCACTTGACAATAAAAAGTAAAATAGTACCTGTTGTACAAAGCTTTCCAGTGATTTCAACTTCTCCATAGTAGAAACCACCTGAGAACTGTAACTTCCTGCTCCACCCGCCAGAGTTGTTATGCTCTGTGCTAGAGTCTCTCGAAGCTTATCGATTCCCTGTGAAAGAGCCTCCTCCGCTTGTTGACAAGAATGTCGCAGTTTACAGACTTCTGCCTTTTGCTCTTCTGTCAAGTCCTCAAGTTGAGGCAGCACAACCTATTAAGCAAAATATTTTTTCCCAAACAATTTAAGCGAAACTTTTTGGATTTATATGAGGTCTAAAGTCTCTCTATGAGAGGGGTGTTAAGTGGGACGACTGACTTGCACCACTAGTGTAATGAAATATACAGTAAAAAAATAAAAAGAAAATTGGTGAGCCACGGCTCGCGAGCTGAATCCACATTTGGTGAAGCGAGCCAGCTCTTGCTCGGCCCATGGACACCCCTACTGTATGATGAGATTGACTTTGTACATTTGTTGATGTTTAAGTGTTATTTAGATAACTACAGGTAGGAAGATTTCATATCAAAGCTTACATTGATAAGCTCTGATGGTTGGAATCCTCCAATCCAAAGGAAAAACTGCTCGACTGGTGTTCTCCACAAGCCGAAGACTAAGTAGAAGGAATCAGCTCTGGCGGCATCTTTTTTCATGCGAAAGAGATTGCAATAGTGTTCTACTACATCCTCTACCAGTGGACGGAGTTCCACATCACCCAATGGAGACTGCAAAACATTTCTAATCTCAGAATTTTTCCTTTGTTGCACTTCCATCCAATGCCCATATTCCATCTCAAACACAGCAATTCCTGCACATTCATCCCAGGACTGTAATCCAAGGTAAAGCAACCTCAAGTTCACCACAGGGATGGGCACACAAAGAATCAATATGAAAACACTGAAAACTTGACGAATTGTATAAGCCTATACATATCATGGTGATAACGGGGCCTTGAACGTCTCTCTTACATGCTTTTATGTCATGCCAAACAAATTAGACGTACCAGAATTTACACTTCCACATCCCACATTAGCAGTTGCGCCCCCGATAAACGAGCCCTGCAATTAGTTATTGACTGACATGTCGGATTATGAACAAATTGCAATGCACGTGAAGCTGATACACAATCCATCTAACCTGATGCCTAGCTCTTTCAAGTTCTAGCTCAAGTTGTGCCAGCTTCAAACGGCTTGATTCCAGTTGCTTTACATACTCCTGTAAAAGAATAGATTAGTAAGAAATCAAAATGAAAAATTCTAAACACGCTGTAATAAGAAAAAAGTATCACGGGCTGGAGCTTCTCTGTACCTTCTTTCGCAAACGGCTTTTCCTAGCAGCTTCGCGATTTTGTGCCAAACGTCTTTGTACCTGTGATTCAATAGCCAATTGAAGATTCATTATAGATCTTTATTATTCAAGAACTTCAGATTTTCAACATCTAGACTCGTACCACCTTATCGCTAATACTCTTTGCTGTTTGGTTATCGCCAGATGCTTCCAGAGATCTATCAGAAGCATACTCACACTGTGTAATAAAATACGAGAAAATCCTGTAAGAGAATAACGTCAATCCTAAAGTTTAGAATCCGAAGGACTGAAGACACTTCACCATGTCAGCTAGCTTTGCATCCGCCTGTGTGATCATACACAAATCTGTATTGGGATTAATGGTACCTCCAAATGTGTCGTCCCACATGCTAATTTGGTGGATTGGTTCATGTACACCAATCGTGCTTGAGGAGGTAAATTGAGTTGTTGGAGTAATCATATCAATGACCTGGTGAACAAAAAGGAAAAAGAAATTGCTAAATTCTCAATCAGAGTCTCTCATTATAATCTTGATTAGATTAGATCCTACACAGCGCTTGTAGGCAAAGATAACCCAATGGCCTAGAGTATAAGACCACAAAAACTGATGGTCCTGAATATAAAATGGTAAAGAAAATGACTGCTTTTGGTAAGCTACACTCATTGGACATGTCATCACTTTTATATAATATCCCATTTATTATATTCACCAATATCTATTCTTTTTAGTCCACCTTAACTAACCCACTCTTGACCTGCACAGCCACTTCTAGTTTTAAATTACAATTAAGAAAGAAAAATAGGATTTTTGGGATAAGAATTAAATTAAATTAAACTAAAAAACCAAAGCACAGGCAGCAAAGTCTTTACTTCCGGGCTCATATATATCAATAAACAAAGTCAAAAAATTTACCGTGACAGTAATTTTGATAGAAATTACAAGTCCGACTCCATAACCTGCTTCGGTTAGATCTTAGATTCTTAATGAAATTTTTTTACTATCGTATAGTAAACTGATTAAATATTCTAAAACTTAAACGAGTTTTAACTGCTGTACTAAAATAAACAACCTTAATGCATATGCTAATTCATGCTGTCACAAGCCAACTAATCTGCTGCTATCTGTCTGAGGAAACTCCTACACATTCAAGAATTCATTTCTTTTTGTCTGGTGAAAGTACAAAATGCACGAAGTGATTTTGTTACTCTAGATTGGAAAGAGAATTTAAATATACATCTCTGTTAGATTCTAGAGTGAAATATATCGAATTCACAATAGCATTTGGAGCTTAAATATGAAATAAAAATTGCATCCTTACTAATAACAGATTCACCATTGATTAGTGGTGGCCCTGAGGGAAGTAGGCGATCGCCTAAGGTTGCGCTTTAGTGAGGATCTCAAATTATGTAAAGTTAATTGGTTGGTTGAAGAAAAATGAAAATTATATTTATGAAATTCTGTAAAATAGAATTATCATATGCAAACATAATAAACCAATAAAAATTGAAAATACAAAAATCTTTAATATATATATCACTTACATTTATTTATCACAAATATTACTTTTCCTATTTATAATTAAGTTGACACTTTATCTTCCTAACATTCATTTTCTTTTCTTAAAAAAGGTGTCTCTGTCTCTTCAAATTCCATGTCCAACAATCACCTACCATTATTTTTTCAAGCCAACAAGATATATATTATCTCCATTTGAATTAAAATTTTGAAGATTCAATGCAGTTTGGTTTGATCTCGCTGCCATTGTTACAATCTTACAGGTTTCTTTCCTTTTTCTCTTATTTTCAAAATATATACTACAGAGTACATATGTTGTTATTATATTAATTTGTTTTAATCTCATGATAATAATATTTTTAGATCTTTACTGAAAGTACTTTGAATTTAATAATTTTTTGTTCTTGTTCATACATATACTTCTTTTTTTAAGTTAATTTCTTATAAATTAATATAAAATTAGAAACTCGTTTGTATTTAATCATCATTTTCATTATTTTGTTACACTATCTTTTGCAGTCATATTTTCCAATTTTGTACATAAAATCACTCAAATGTATATTCAACTTTATTTGAAATAGTTACAGCAAGAAAATAATCATACAAACGAACGTACCATTTTGCCATTGCATTGTAATTCTGTTTACCAAACTTTACTTGTAATTTGTATTATTGGTTGAAATTTGACGTTTTGTTAATTTTCTCTTCAAATTTTGGGGCTCAGTTGTATGTGTTAGATTTTTTATAATTATATTAAGCCACTATTTGGTATCGATAAAAATCTAAATTTTAATCTAAGTCAAAATCAACAATTAATTTTAATCACATATTTTATTTACTTCTATCAAAATCTACTAAAATTTTGATTTTAGGGGTTGTTTGAGCCCCATTTTTCTATAAAAAGAAAAAAAAAGCATTTTGAAGTAGTGTTACAGTGAAGACTGTGTTGTTAAGAAATAAGAAAATTTTTTAGATTTACATGTAATATTATTAAATTGAGAAATGTGTGGTTGAAATAATGTCAAATCACTGTTGAAAAATGTATTTTGATGAAAAATGAGGCTCATACAAGGGCTTAATCTCCTTCAAATAAGGTTTACAACTCTATACAAGGAGACTCAAAATAGAGAGCCCCAATTTGAAATTGACATAAGGCCCCCAAAATATCAGGGCCAGCTCTACCAATGATGATTGAACCACGATATTTTTTAAATTTCTATAGAGTATAGGAAGAATAATCATTGTTTCTTTTAAGTTCTATTTATGCCTAAATGGAAAATAATCCATAACGGTTAATATTTAATGATTTCAGTCTTAGTTTCCTTTCTTACGTTTCTCTATTATTGTGGTTAATTTGTCAATTATACTTCATTTTGCTCTATCATTATGGCTCTTATAAATCAAGAAAGTCAAGGAAATAGGGTCAGTCACCTTTTAGTTAACACAATTATTTAATCTTCTGGAAAAGCATATGAAAAAAGCAATTGCCACTTGTTGCCCATACAGTATATGTCAAAAAATAACCACAAACAATATAGTAATTATATGATTATGAAGGCCATTAAAACAATGAAAACGCATACAACATTGTAGGGACTTCTTGTTCCATTTTAAAAGATAAAGCCTCTGTTTCAATAACAATTTATAAATTCAGTAAAATTTAGACATTAATTTATATTCTTATATGTTGTGTATTTGTTTCATCGTTTTTTGATGTGAAATTTCCCCTTAACCTTAAGTTCTTAGTTCCGCGTCATCTGAGTACCTCAAGCGAAGTCTTTCTCAAACAACAAAGGCTCTCATGTCTCATCAAGACTCAACTCTTCCACACGTCTGCCACAAAAGCCAACTACAGATTTTCTCAGCCATTGCAATTGCTTAGGGACTATGACTTCTTTTGTATCTTTCTCCATACCTTCGAAGATTCATCTTGAGTAGCGGCTGAATCTAAAAAAATACCAGGATGAATCTTAATGAAGAATCAAAATCTAATTTTTAAACTTAAAAAAAGAAAACACTGATTTAGAATTCAACTTTTGAGCTGTTTATTATGTTCTATGACTATGATAATGCATTTCCACTGCGAACTGGGATAAAAAGAATTCTCTATTAGATTACCACAATACATTAAAGAAAGGGAAGAAAACAAAGATGACAAACAAACAAGAGACAAACTTCAAGCAGTTGTCATTTTCAAACCTTTTGATGCAATTTATAATTGATAATTCATGCCTTTTAGTGACATGATTTCCACTGAAATTGCTGCAAATAATCTCGAGGATCATAATAAATTAATTGATAATTGACTGTTAAACCAAATATCTTTGTGCAAATTGAAATATTAATTAATAAAAAAGTTGCAAATGTAGTTATAATATATGAAATTGTTGCATAATATATGTAGTTGAGCTACTTGCGTAAGAAATCTAGTTATAATAATTCCCAGAAAGAAAGAAGCCTCTATGGCATGTGTTACTTTTGGCTTTAATGCTTTTAATCTCTAAAGATTGGGCGGCGTATTTTGAATAACTTTACAGAAAATTTAAAGTAGGACCTAATAGTGTGTGAAAATCAAAATAGTCCTATTTTATCACTTTTTAGAAGAGACTTTTTTCTCGTTTATTCGTCAATATTTCATGACTCAAAAGTTGATGTGCTGACCTCTCAAAACAAGACCGAATATTGGCGCATGGTTCGTGTCAACTTGACCCAATCAAGTAGGTCGGATGGTTGAGTAGGCGGGTTTAGTTAATATTTTCATTAGCTAAGCAACATGCCATTTAAGCAGTTGGCCAGTGTCTCAAGCAAACCTCAGAAAACAGCAGACAACGAGATAACATTTATTATAGATAAGAGAATATTTTACATATAAAGATTGAAAAGGTGACAAATCTTTTGTTTGAAAACTTCTGATACATTCTTCCTTAGCCCAAAAAAATCTACTTTTTTCCGTTTTGAGTATTTTGACAGCTAATTATACTGAGGATCATACCATACAATTAAGAAATGAGGGCATCAAGCTTTTCGTATTAACAAATTGAATATATATCCATTGAAATATCTCATATAAAACCTAATACTCATGCATGATTTTATATATGAGTAATCGAAACCAATATTTTTTTTTCTCACCAGCATTCTGTTAAGCTTCTCAAACTGAAGGAATGATATGTGTTGAAGAATCTCATATTGGCGTCTGGACGAGGAGGAACTAGTCAAGGCACCAAGAATGCTACAATTCATAGATATCAAGAAGTATTCATGTAACGGCAAATAAAGCCGTGAAGTCATGCAAGAGGCATCTTTATATGAGGAGGAGGCTTCGTGAGGAAGAGTGCCTTCAAAAACAAACAGAGTAGTTAAGAATCGAACCGAAAAAGAATAAACAAGAAACACAAAGCCGCGGTACTCACTAAGTGTTAAATATTTCGTGGGGACCGTAAGAGGCGCCAGGGGGTCTCCCTCCATCGTGTCTCATCTCCCGGTAGCCCAACACTACGAGCTCTTCCACTCTTTAATGGAGCTCGGCAAATCAAGTACGAATGGAGTGTGGGAACCCCATGAGGTCAAGTAGTACCAGCCTCTGGTCTTATCCTCCCAGCCGCTACCTTGGGAATGTAGAGGGTCTCCCCCCCCCAGTCGCTACCTTGGGGATGTAGATGGTCTGGAATACAAAAAAAGGCATCTCTACCCCAAGCGACGCCTCCTTCCACAACATCCAGGAGCCCACCATTTGGGGTTAAAACCTAATCCTTGTGCATAATTTTTGTAAATGATTAGCTGAAACAAAAATAATATTTGCCCTAACACTATGTTAAAGTGTGTACCTAAAAAATTTAAGCCACTAAAAACGGACAGATTTATTCTTTAATTACCAAAATTAAAGAACTAAAATACTCAATTTTCGCAACTTCCAAAAATTCTAAATTATGCTTCATCTTTCTTTCTTTATTTATCTATCATTCTGATGCAATTATTTCTCACTTTATTTTCCACTATGTGACACTTTAACGTATTATCATCTATCTCAATGTCGTTTATTGGCTATCTGGATGGCTAAAACAGCCTGAGCCATTCAATAATTTCTAAATTCTAAAACTGTAGACTAAAGGTCATAGGCACTTTCAGGGTCCCAAGCAATATAGCAGCTTCAAAAGAAGCACCAAAAAAATTAATGAGGGATTTTTTTGGCACATCCAACAATAAATATATAAAAGGATTCTTGCCATAATTTTCAATATTCTTCAAAATATTAGTCTCATCATTCATATTTGCTAAAATACTTTTCAGGAGTAAGGCACTCTCATTTTAGGGATTAGCCCTCGTGTGACTTCCATGATCAATTTTTCAACTGCGCATTTCATCAATTTTTTTTAAAATCTATTAAAAATCATATTTTTAGCTACATCAAACATGGGCTAAAGTTTTGTTTTATTATTCAAAAATGTTTTCAATATGTCTTTGGCATAGCTTTTTTTTTTTTTTTTTCCTCATCAAAATATAGACACAACAATTAGAATTATCGTTTATAAATGAGTTACAGTGAGATTTGAGTCCCGAGAACTTTAGAATACTATTTCTAAAAACTTAAATCGTTAATAAATGCGTATTTATTTAATTTTGACGTTATTATTCATTGCAAATTAGAATAAGCGATTGTCGTCGATCGCTTTGGCACAATACAAGTTGCGTACATGCATGGAGAAGGATATATCCTAGACCAGCTTATAGAGGTTGTAATCTATTTGGATCGTAGGTCAATTACTTTATTTAATTTTCCCAACATGAACATACTCAAAAATATTTTAATTTTTTTAATTTTCCAGTTGAATAGTTGACCTATCTAGACAATGGATCATCTTGTCGGATCATCTGGTCGATTCAGGTGGAGACGTGGAGAATGGTAAACTTGTGTCATACTGTATTTGTAGTAATTCTATATTTTTTCTTCAAGATTTTTAATGGGCAATGACCCAATTAAATCGTGGACCATACATATGGGCTCCTGCTTCGGGCTTAAATGAGCTAACCTTTTGGGCTTCCAGTGGGCCTCGATCAATTAACCTTTTTGGGCTTCAACTGGTGCAGTTCCGAAGAAGTATGTGTAGGTTGCTAAATGGGGTAATTGGACAAATTACAAATAGCCATAAAATCAAGGGGGATTTTGTTAAATAGTCTAGTCAAACAATGTATTTGATTAAATAACATTGTTCCAATGTTTGTTGGTCAAATGACCCTCAATTACAAAATATAATAAACAAATAATATCAAATGTCCAAAACACCCTCACCATGGAAAAGACTCAAACACCCTTTCAATCCAATCAATTTCCTCAATTCATCTCCAAAATGCATCAATGTATTTCTCTGTGCTTGCTGCCCTAAAATCATATTTTTTTCATTATATTCTTTAGCTATCTTCTCCAATATTTTGATCATTTGAACAAGAATTTTGGTTTCCATATTATCTACCATAAAATATCTACTATATTTGAAGAAAAAAGAAATGTATTTTTAGAAATCTCATGTATATTTGTACTTTTATTGTTAAATATAGTATAAAATAATGTTTTAGTTGATTTTACTTTCACATTTGGTGTATTTTGTACTGTCCGCAACTATTGGACGATAACGGCAGTCCAATCATTATTTGTGGCGTAGAACGACACTACATGCGTTATCTTCTATGTAAAATATAGTGAGGTTCAAAAATTAAATATTATTTATCTAATAACAATTAATTTCAAAATATGCACGTCATCAATTATTAATATCGTGTTTACATAGTAACGACAGTTATGCCGATTTCATAATAGTAACGACATTTGTGCTATTTTCTTTTTTCATGTTGATTAAGTAATAAGCATAACCGTCAAATTTTGTAAATGACATGTCCATCTTACAAATTTAATAAGTTTAACTTATTGAAATCAGGACTTGATAAGGTCGTGGATGCTCATATTCGTGTTATAGACAGAACGACATATGTGATGTTACGTTTAACGACACTTATGCCACTTTATTGATTTATCCAATACTTAGCTTCTTTTCCACCTCAATTACCTCGAGCATTGAATCCTCTAACTTAAGAAAGTTAGAAATGTTAGTTATGTGATAAATATCGATATAATTGACATAAATTCTATAATATTGAATGAGCGACATCATAGGTCATAATCTACGTTTATTAGAAAATAAAATTAATAAGCATATCTGTTAAATTTTGTAAACGACACATCTATCTTGTAACATAAATGAGTTCAACTTATCGAATATCGGGGTTCGGACGGGTCGTGATTGCTCATACTTGTGTTTGTAACGACACACGTTACGTTTAACGGCACTTCCGTCATTCTGTTGATTTCTCTAATATTCTACTTCTTTTCCACCGTAATGATCTCCAGCATTGGATTCCTTAATTTAAGAAAGTCATAAATGTTGATTATGTAACAAAGTCCAGTAGAATTGACATAAATTATATAGTGTCAAGTTGGTAAAATCACAAGTCATTGTCTACATTCATTAGAAAATATAATTAATGTTCATATTTTTTAAATTTTGTAAACGACGTGTCCATCTTGCAACATATATGAATTCAACATATCGAATGTCGGGGCTGGGATGGCTCACGACTGCTCATACTCGTGTTTATAGATAGAATGATACATGTGACGTTTAATGGTACTTATTGATTTCTCCAATATTTTGTTTTTTTTTATCGCAGAAACCTCGAGCATTGGACCTTATAACTTAAAAAAGTCAAATATGTTAATTATGTGATAAATATTAATAGAAGTGACATAAATTATATCATATTGAATGGGTGACATCACAAGTCATGATCTACATTTGTTAGAAAATAAAATTAATGAGCATATATCTTAAAATTTGTAAACAACACATCTATCTTGCAACATAAATGAGTTCAACTTATCAAATATCAATGCATGGACGAGTCATGACTCGTGACCTATAATTTTTTAGATTTGTAACCAATAACATAAACTGTGACCTATAAAATTGATAGATAAATTGTGATCCATGACTACGAAATAATCTGTGACCTATCAAAGTTTTGATTCGTGACATTGAAATAATTTGTGGCCAATTAATTTGAAAATATGTGACCAAAGAATAAATCTCTGCCCTATACATGTGTACACGTCATTAATTGTATAATTGTGTATTTATTATATTTAATTAATAAATATTTTTAATTAATTAGATAAAAATCTAATTTTTGTATTAATTAAACTTTAAGTCTCTGTTTGAGCCACATTTTTACCTTATTAAAATGAAAAATATGATCGTTATCCATCACATCAAATCATCATTTTTGAATTTCTATCTCTGGTGTGAGGTCCATAATGGCTCTATTTCTCATTCTCATTCTGATTATAACGTGGCTCAAACAAGCTCTAAATATGGTTTTTGAACTATACATACTTAATACATGGTTTATGAATTTTTTCCAAATATTAAGGGTCATTTGGGAAAAATATCAGTTTACAAATTAAAAATTACAGTTAAAGAAAAGAAAATTACAATTACATCTTGATCAATTGGAGAAATTTCTTGAAACCCCACATCCATCCGCCTCAGCCATCAGCCATCGCCACCGACCGCCGGAGAATAGTCACTAATTTTGCACTTAAATTTTGGCGGCAAATGACGGCAATTTGTGTCTCATATCCAATTTCTGTATATAATACAGATAACTGCATCTAATCCTTTACGGCTTATGTATTATTGTGGAGCCAACTAACTTTCTTAAGTAAAATTAAAATCCTATATTGGAGGATTTCATATTAATAGGTACTGCTAGTTTGGACAATATTAGTTTTTGTTATTTTGTGGATTAAATTAAGGATTCTGCGTGTTCCAATGGATGAAATTAAGGATTCAGCGTATTTCCAAGATTCACCATGTACAGAAATCAAGTCCTTCTTTGACACAGCTCCTCCTCTAAAGGATGTTATTGAAATCAACAGAAAACTAGAGGAGTTTAAAAAAAGGAATCATTCATCATCAGGTAAGCATTCTCATAATTACTTGGGGTGCATATTTTTTTTTTCCTTCCGCACTACTGCTTTATAATTTCCAATATTGCATAGATGTAATGTTACTATGTACTTCAGAGCACAAAAGAAGTAGGAGGGTGGTTTGTATTACATCTGGTGGGACAACTGTTCCTTTGGAGCAGCGATGTGTTCGTTACATTGACAACTTCAGCTCAGGTCACAGAGGAGCTGCATCTACAGAGTAAACATCATACCATGTTTCATTTGGGGTGGACAGTTCTACAATTTACTTATGTTTTGACATAGTGAAGTTATACAAACAGATACTTTTTGAAGGCTGGATATTCTGTAATATTTCTCTATAGGAGGTAAGTTCTTCAGCAATTAGATGAGCTTATTTGAAGTTTTAATTGAACTATTCAATTGTTCATGAAGATGTATCTTATGATTTTGTTGGCATTGCTAACCGTTTAGGAATACATATGCAGGGGAACCTGCCAGCCATATTGTAGGTCTCTTCCGGATGATCTGTTGCTTGAATGTTTTGACATTACTGATGAATTAAATATTGGAGGTTAGCAGTTTATTATCATTCAACCTCCTACGGTTCATAGAGAACCACTGGATGCGATCATTTTGAAGAGTGTGATTTGATAAATTACTATCAATGCAAAAACATCCTGGACTATAAACATTGTTTAAGAAGGTTATGACTTTATTGCAATTTTAGGCAACAATTTTTTTGGAACATGTCTTTAATCGTTTATGGAATGATATCCAAACTAAACTTCATGCTAATGAATATGTATCTCCTGATATTTTGACCAGTTGCTTGTTTTTGCATTGAATAGAGCATTCCTTTGGTTCTTTTCTTGATTGCTACACCTATTTAATGTTTCAGTGAATCCTGGGGATGTTGAAGCAGTGAAGAGAGCCGTCAGTGAACATCATTCTGTATGGATTTTGAATTCACAATTCCAATCTTTTTATATTAATTATGTGATTGACATTCAGACTGATCATTTTTACTGCAGGCAGTTATCAAAGGCAATTTGTTGAAACTTCCCTTTACAACAATTTTTGAGTATCTCCAGGTTTTCTTTCATTATTTTGTCTCTAAGATTTAAACACTTGCTATTTACTGTGTAGAAAATTGTTAGATTTTCCCTTGGTCCGATTAGGCATAGTATTTACTTGAATAAAAGAATCTACCTTTTTCTGAGTTTTCTAACCTGCAATTTATTAAATTTTCACGGGTATGCCTTTCAATGAACAAGTTTGTTGAACTTATATGAGTGTAGCTATTCATCCAAGAAGTCTAGATACAAATTCTGCTGATATATGTAAAATTACTTTTATATTTCAGGGACTAGGCTTGGACTCTACTTGCTGTAAATCAGACAATATATTCTTTCTTATTTCATCATGTTTATCAGTAAAGGACACTTATTTGCATGCTAATTTGTTTTTCCATAAATACAGGACAAAATCTTGTAAATTGTGACCATTAGTTGTGTGATATGTAATTAGGCTTTCATTTGTTGTATGTGCATGTGTGGGTGTGGACTTCTAGTCAGATACTGAAAGATGATGAACTGTCAATTCTTTCAGAAATTTAGGAGCAAAAAGGACACTTCTGTGTAAAATAGCCAGCTTCTATATTTAAGAATTGTGTATCATATTTCTACCCATACCCCCATTTAAACTTTCCAGGTATTACTATGCAAATACTGTTGGTTAGTATCAAACTCTACACCAATTTTCTAGGAAAGAAATGGTTATAATAATTGAAGATAATACCTGATAGTATGGACCTATAGATCAGTAATCACTCTTTTCTTCTTAGAGGAGAACATCACATTTTATGAGAGCTTACATCCTTGGTAAATGGTTTCTTTCTTTGGAAATGTAAAGAATGTTTTGGGTGGCTCTCACTTAATTGATTTATGTTGCACTTTGTGTTTGCAGCTCTCCATCTCCCCATGCACCTTTTTTGTTCCTTTGATTTTCATTTCTTCATTTACGGAAGACCATTATGCATGGACAGATTCTACAGTTGATTGCATTATCAATGAGGAGCCTTGGATCAAGTGCTATGTTCTATCTTTCAGCTGCAGTTTCTGACTTTTACGTTCCATGGGAGGCCATGGTAATAAACTGACTCTACTGAAGATGTCATCTCATTTCATTTTGTTATTCTGTTCATCTTTATCATGGGTAAATCTCCCTGAAACATTTGCTCAAAGTTAAATCAAGGCCTGGCATTTAATTGTGTTGTTTCAGGGCTTCGTTTGGTGAAGCAAAAGGCAAGTAGATGTGTTTCACTCTTTTTATGATGTCTAGGATCATGTTTAAAAGTCATAGTGAAAGTCAGACGCTAGTGCTTCCGTCATTTAAAGCGTCCTTCATCCTTTTATTTTGTAAATTGGTATATTGGGCCTAATTTCTCTTTCGCATCACATTTTACTGATTATAGAAATGAATCTCTTGTGAAGGATATCATTTGGTATGAAGATGAGTAACTATGAAATGATACTATTTTGACTCTTTTAATTTACATTCTGGATGAAATGAGTTCTTACTTCTGGTTCTCAGAAACAGATGCATTTTCCTTGTTCATTTTGTTGTTGCTTCTGTAAGCATCACTCAGTGATGACTGAACATTCGAAATCTACTTCCACTAGACTTCTTTTACCAGATCATGTAAAGCACCCAACCACAAAATGACGCAACAAGGAAACAATTAAAAGTCTATTCAAGGCGAAAGACTAATAATCAGTAGAATTCTAGTATATCTAAATTATAATAGTTTTATTTTGACAATAACGAACATAAACTTCTTGGAGGTGGACTTTTGAGGTCTAGGGAATATGGGTTTGAAAAGACTCTCTAAATTGTAATGAATTGGTGATATTCATTTCTTGAAGTTAAAAACCTTGATGTTCACCCAGTTATACAGTTTTATTATCATAATTATTCTGGAAATTGCTCATATTTTGAGATCTTGGTCATTTTGGAATGTGGTAATTTGATCTCTTATGCATCTTCAGCTATTTTTAACTCAATAGTGGCTGAGATTACAGATGGTGCATAAAATTCAGTCCCATACTGGTCCTCTGGACATGCGGCTTGCTCAAGTCCCTAAGATGCTCTTAGCGCTGAGGAAAGATTGGGCACCTCTGGCCTTCTGCATATCATTCAAGGTTAGATATCTGCCAGTGGAGTGTTTTAATTTTGATTTGTACTTAAGTAGTATACGGCTTGTGATAAAACAATTAGGGAGAACTGGGGGCCATGGATGCTAAAGTTCCTATAGTTATCGTTATGGATTGATTTTTAGACAAGGGATCTGAACTCGTGCATCTGTCCACAATGTAGATGTGACATTCATTTTGAATGTGTAGTTCATATGTTTCTGTATGTGCGGCTTTTGCATAGTCCCCTATCCATAAATAAACAAAATTTAACTTGGGGACTTCTGAGTACTTTCCCCCTCCCCAGCTCGCGCAAATAAAATCCCTCTAGGCCATACTTATAAAATGATACAGGGATGAGAACTGCTATGTAACCTCTCTTGTAAGCAATTTTTATACTAAGCGAAACTTTACAAGAAGAGAGCTCCTTTCACTGCATACAATTTTCACAAGCATTTAGTTCCACGAGCAAGACATAAAAGAACACAATTCACCAGAACATTTGTATTCATGCATTGTAAGTAGAAACTACATGGAGCTTATTTAATTTTCCACGTTCTTATTTTTTAGGACTTAGTGATTGAAGTCATTTGGAATAGGCATTATACCCAGAAAAGACCTTGTTGAAATAGGTAGGTGATAGAAAAATTTAAATCTGGCAGACAACAGATAGAATGAAATATATGAACTTCTCACTTTTCACTTCTAATTTTTTTGTATCTCAAGTGTGTGTGATCCAAATACAGGACAATTAGTTATTCAGCCTTGTGTATGATTTATCTGTCCAACTTGACAACTGGAGACAGATACAGAGATTCTTCTGGAGAAGGCTGATATGGCCCTTACAAAGTATAACATGCATATGGTCGTGGCCAATGAGCTTTTAACCCGTAAAGAGGAAGTTATAGTCGTCTCTAAGAGTGGAAATATCACAGTTTGCCGAGACAAGAACCAAGATGGTGCTGATGTGTAAGTATTATGCCCTAGGTCCAATCAACTTTGGACATAAATACTTTTATATATAATTAATGCAATTAAATGGCAGATCTATTATTTAATTAATAGACAATTAAATAAATAATAGAGTCCGTAGATTCAAATATTTGTAATTTGTTAATCACAAGGAGTTGTGATTGTGAGATACAAATTACATCTGATTGAATCTTAAATCATCCGTGGTCGTAAGTAATAACGAGATACGGATATCGTTATTACGGATAGACCATCACGTGTGGCATTTCTTACTTGTGAAGTAAGTAGCTGATCTCACAAGTTAAAGTGTGGTGACACTTAAATGAACACGTGGATGTTTGTTATAGAACAAAACATTGGAGACCCGTCGAGAGATTCCACATGGATAACTATCTGAGTGTCGGTGGTTAATCTCTAACGTTCGGTAGTGAAATTGGTCCTTTGACTTGAGGTCGTCATGGTACCTTATATAAGGACAGTCATACTTTGGCGGTGTTGGATGTTGCTTTGAAAAGGGCCGTTAATACGACATCGTTCGGGTACGTCAAGAATCGTATGAAGGTTGTGATTGATCAATAAAGGATTCGTCATTCTTAGATAGTAGGAGATTATGATCTGCGTTTCATTCAATTAAGTCAATGATGAAATCCTTGGCGAAAGTGTACTCATAAGTCGAAGAGGAGTTTTCGATTTATATTGACTTAATAGTGAAGTGAAAGATATGATCGATGATCGAGATTGACACAATTCCATATCTCGTAATTGATCGGATCATATTGACGAAGGGATTATAGTTTCACGGTAAACGAACGAATTTGGTTTTGTCATACCACGTGACATTTTCCGTCACATGTATTGCCCTGACACATTGCTAGATGTCAATCAGGGACGACGAGTGTGAATTGACGATAAATTAAAATGGTATTTTAATTTATCAATTTTGATTAGATCAAAATAATATTTCACGTCGTTAGGTATCGTGGTCGGGAACCTAATGGGTCGCACACAAAAGAGAATTGGAAGATTGCAAATTGCCAATTGGTTAATTTAACAATCGTTGGATAAATTAATTAATTGGTTTTATTATTTATATTTTCGAATTAATTAATTGGATTAATTAATTCACGGACCGAGTTTAATTAATTGGATTAATTAATTATTGGACCGGATTGGACCGAGCCTGTTTGGGTTTATATAAATACATAACTAGGGTTTGAGGTCCATTATGGTTTTCATTATTCTTTCTTAAGAGAAAACCCTAAAGGCTGCAATCATATTCTCTGTATGGATCACCGTTGGAGGTTGGACAATTGGACAGTTGTGGTGGCGAATCAAAGTTGTGGAACGAAAAGAAAAGCAAAAGGATTGCAGATCTGAAAAAGGTATAATCTTATCACAATTTCTATCTAAACACAAAGGCGATTCTTGGTGGGAATCGAAAATTATTTTAAATTCCGCTGTGCATGTATAAGTAGATTCCCAAAAGGATGTAGAGAGCCCGCTGATCGAACTCATTGTGGATCGACATTCTGAATATATCAAAGATTTGGGCTCTTGATTTCAGCCAAACATTTGATGGGCAGCAAAAATTGCGGCCTCCTGTCCGGATGCTGACATTTCGATTCAAGCAATATGTTTGTTTCACATAGTAACAAGCCTTGGTTAAATTAGTTAATTTAAATATAGAAACACTTGGATGAAATATGTAGCATCGACTTTTGTTCTAGAAGAAGTCGTGCTTTTTGTTAATATTTCAGTTGGTTATGTTCTGTAACTAATGCAATTGGTAAAGGAAGTTTTTATCACTAATCTTAGACGATATAATACTGTCTTTGATGAATTTTTTGTGCTTTTGGTTCATATTTCAGTTGGTTATTGTTCTATAACTAATCCAAACAGCAAATGAAGTTTTTCTCACTTATCTTAGAGATGATATATTTCTTCCTTGATGCTGTCTTTGATGAATATTTATTTGTCACGTCTAGTTTTTCTTACTAATCTTAGTGGGTATATTTCTCATTAATTGTTTTATAAATTGAAATTTTTAAAAATGTGAAAACGTCAAGTCGAGTAATACTATTTTTCTAGATCGCTTATGATTAATCATCAATTGTTAATTTAGAGTTTGTTTGGAGAGATTTTTTGGTACTTGTGACTTTTCCTTATTTTGAAACATACATTCTCAAAATATTATTTTTCGTTTGATTTTTTTTTTCCCGCAAATAAACACTAAATGATTTTCATACATCTATATTTTAGATGTTCAATCACTTAATATTTATGGAGATGTCTAGACATTATTATTATTCAAATTATGAAAATAAAAGTTGAAAACCCGATTCGATTGAAGGAATTAATTGAGATCACACCTTGAAATCTCGAATGAAATGATTTGCCTGTAATAATGATAGCAAAGGAAATTACCATTAATTGCTCGGTGGGAAATTAACAAGATCCATACGTTAACCTCAAAATCTGCGAAGAGATCTAAAGCATAATTTAACGTTAATGTCGCATGATAACAATAAACTGATAAAAGTAATTTGACAAGGAAATGAAAACAAACAGTAGCTTCAAGTTCACCCTGGAACAGTGTGCACCATTAACAAGCATCCAAGAAGGAAATTATCAAACAGTAGAAGTGATAAGCTGATTGGGATTGTCACTAATTCGTTTGACCACCTCTTCCACGACCAATCGGTGGCCGTGAAGGCGTTCTTGCCAAAACGTTGTTGAAAGGAGGATCAGCGGCGGCTTCCGGCGGATCAGTTGGAGGAGGGACAGTGGCGGGTAGATCAGCTGGCGGCTCTTGGCTGCTCATTTCACTGATACCCTCCTTGTCTTTCTCTTCAGAAGTTGACGAATTTTCAGTTTCAAACCCTAAACACTTGAGGAGAGTTTTTATGGCCACTTGAATATAACGGCAGGGATTTTGAACACAATAGGTTTCTGTATTTTGTCTTCCATTAATGTTTTCAATAGTTTCCTCCATTTTTTTCTTCTTCTTCTTCTTCACCAGATGTCTGTATATATTCTTTAATGTTCGGTAGGTAGTGTGACATTAATGAACTTCTGCAGATTTTATTTTTAGTAAAAATATTATTATTTTTTCCCTACGAATTTATGTTTTTGCTCCTCGATGCCACATGCCTTGTTCACTTTTTTATTTGTTTCCCCACATAGGTGATAACACTGTTAATTTTAAATACATATATCCTTAATTTGCACTCCATAAACAAAGTTACCCGCAAGAATTTCAAATAAAAAAGAAAAGGAAAATCTAGCAGCTAATTGAATATTCCTAATCTCAGCAATTTCTCCATGCTGCTTCTTCGACACTCATGTCAATCAATTTTGACACAGAATTTCCATACCTTACAGTGAATCCAGGCACCAGTGAAGGGTTACTTACAGGCTAGATTCTAACATTGGTCGCGCCGGTCAATTCGGTGACTCCAACTATTTTGATGTATTCAAGGATCAACTATTTTTTCAATAGTTGAATTTCGACTTTTCAAGTTTGTAGTATATTAGAGAATCTTTAACAAACTTTTTCAACATAAGATGCTCTCTATTTTAATGAGTCAACTCTTAACTTTAAATTATGCTCCAATAAGCTCTTTCAATTGACGTTTTAATTTTGAGAGTTGGTTTGGCTCCAAACTCACCCTCTATAATTAAATGCATTCAATGTGTTTTAATTTTTAATTGAGGAAAATAATTCAATAATTTTGAGGAAAGTTGGTGAAAATGAAAGATAGAAAAAATAATAACTATTTTTCGGAAGTAATAAAATTAAGTGTTAAATATAAAAAGCATGCTAGAATACTTTAAAGTTTTTGCTCTCTAAATTTATAGATACTTTTTACATTGTAGAATATACTCTTTAAAAATAGAGAATATCTTGAATATACTCTTAATATTCTAACTTTTTTAAAGATAAACTTAATTTTCATTAAAATACTAAAAGACAGAAAAAAAAAATCACCAATTCCTCCCTAGCCATCTTCAGTTCCTCTAGTTGTATCTGAGAATGAATTTAATTCGTTATAATTGAAAACAGAAGTAAATACGTATTCTATAAATTGGATTTTTATTTATTTATTTATTTATTTTTAACAATTTCAACCTAAAATGTGAAAGAGTCAAGTCGAGTAATACTATTTATCTAGATCATTTATGATTAATTATCGAATGCCAAATAAGAGCTTGTTTAAGAGAGATTTCTTAAAAATCATTTTCCAAAATTATATTCAACCACACATCCTCCAAAAAAAAAAAAAAAAAAAATCATTTGAAAAAATTCATCCATTTTTCTATTTTTAAGAAGTTCAATAACTTAATATCCATGGACCCGTCTAGATAGATAGCATTATTCAAATTCAAAAAGTAAAAGATGAAAACCCGTCAATTGAACAAATAAATTGAGAGAATAATGCTATTTGAACAAGGTCAATGATAGGCATTTTTTTGACAGACAGACTTGGAAGATTTTGATGGACAATTTTTTGTTCAACTTTTTTTAACTGTCAGTGGATGATTGTCAATTGTATTTGTGTATAAAAATCCATCAGAGTGTGTTCCTATAGTGGAATTGAAATTGTGATTACACCTGAGAGCTCAAATAAAATGATATGTGCGTAACTATTAATTGCTTGGTAGAAAATTAACTACAATGCTGCTATGCGTATGGCTAGGGTTTGACACCTCCCGGACAGCACACTCACAATAGAGATAGGGAGCACTTTATTGGAAATTTTTTTTATTCACATAGGTTTCACACATGTGAGTATAGATCAACCAAGTGAAAAAAATTTCAGTCAAATGAGATGAATTCAATTAACAAGATCCATGCATTACTCTTAAAATCTGTGAAGAG